TTTAGACACAATGGTCAGTTGATATGATGTGGCATAGATGATGTAATTTGACTGGATGTATGTAGGCACAACGGTAGGCGTCTTTTTTCAAAAATGAAACAGTTGAAAGTCAGCGCTCCGTGTGTGTACATCCTCCCTGTCCGCGTCTTTTTGCGCTGTGTAATCTTTTTAAAATTGCTGAATGCACCCATCTTGAAGCTCCCCGATTTCGAGAAATGCCTTGTTCTGTAGACAGATGCGTCCGACCGAGGGGTAAGTGCTGTTCTTCCCCAGAGGCATGGCGAAATGCTGCACCCTGTGGCGTACGCTAGCCGCAAACTGCTTCCTCGCGAGATCGTGTACTCGACGGTAGAGAAGGAAGCATTGGTCCTGGTTTGGTAGATCGAAAAGTTCCAAGCATTTCTCTATGGGGGGAAGTTCTTGGTCCAGACGGATCACCAGTCTTTGGAGTTCATCAAAGAATCCCAGTCAGCTAACTGCCGAGTTCTCCGTTGGAGTCTCAGACTCCAGCTGTACGACTTGTGAACAGAGTACACTAAGGGAAGTGAGAATGAGGGAGCCGACTACATGAGCCGGATTGACTAGATTTCTGACCAAACTACATGTCGGAGCGCTTTTCTTTGTCATTGCTTCTGCAGCCTGTCTCCCTTTTTCTACAGTGTTTGTTTAGAATTCAATGCATGTTTTACTGGTATGAATATTGTAACCTATGTATGTTGCATGAATGTTACGCATTGAAGGGGTTGTTTGTTTCTTTGCTTTTCTTAGTGGTCACAGGTATTAATTGCCTTACTTGGTTGTCGGTTTTGTGTGTGGACAATCACAAACTTCTTTCGTTGAGGTGAACTGTTGTGTGCCTATCGACTGTGCGTGGCGTGGTATGTAGTGTTCAAGTGATTTCAGGTATGATCATGGATTGTCCAGAATGTGTCCGCCCGATGGTGTCCGCGGAATCTTTGATCACCTGAACTAAGGCCAGTCTACAAGAGACAAGACTTCATCCCGGTTCTTCGTCCCGTGCTCGAGTCTGTGACGCTTCGCAGTGTCACAAACTCGGGCATCGGCCACTCTTCCACAATTTTTTTCTTTAAGCATTTGTGCTGCTCGCCGATGCCCCTTCACTAATTTGCCTTTTGACTGGGTCACCCCGCGTTGCAACCATGGATGGGAAGACAGAACTCGGTTTTGTTTTTCTCTTCCCTTTTCTTTCACCCAGGAAGTGCCATTGCCAATGACAAAGGCGGGAAATGTGCCTGCCGGGGAAAGGGACTGCTTTCGTGAGGAGCCTATAGTTTTCTGAGAAAGCTTTCTGGGACGTCAAGGAAAAAGGATGTTCGTGGTTGCGGGGTGAAGAAAGCAAGAACAGGGAGTTTAAGCAGGTCCTGCCAACACGAACGGTTCACCCCAGACAACTATCCGACACCGCTGAGCATTCGCGGGCGGCACAGTCGGGATTTGGGGAGCGGTTAGGTCAAAACGTCACCACTCGCACTGCCCGAGTCTCATGTAAACCTACGCCAACGGAGAACAATCCAGTGCTTTTCAAGATGGCGGATGGCGGGTCGCCGGCAGAAGCTTGAAGCGGCCCCAGCAAGAAACTGAGATTCTCCGTGACAGACAACATCTGGCTGCTGTGGGAAGTCATCATCAAGAATCCTTACGAGGAGAGTGCAGGGTGGGTTCTGATCACTGACGCTCTAAACCGTGCCAGTGGTAAAGCCCTTACGATCCGTACTGTCCGGGAATGAATGTATCGTCTGCTGGCGCTGTTCCAGCAGCAAGACACCGCCAACCTCAAAAAGTACATTAAAAATTTTTACTTTATTATGTATTGGATGTATCCTTTATAGCAGGTGGTAGCTTGAAATGTAGTTGCTGTTATGACTGTTTCTTGTTGCCGCACTTCAGGCACGGAAGAGCAGTACTCAGAGAAAGAGGTGCGTCTCCAAGAGGTCGCAGACCTTGCACAAAGTTTTTCACCGGCGAAGAAGAACAAGCAGTCGCAGAATGCTGCGAAAGCCACTGCAACGATGCAACTAGATGGCGCCGCGGAAACGTGGGTAGCGGCCGAAGGTAGGTTTTAAGGTCACGCTTTGTTTGGGCTCAGTTGGTCAAATAACCTTTTAGAGAACACCAACGTGCTGCTGTGTGGGAACATTTCTTGAGTAAGAAGAGCAAGGGTGCAAGAGCAGTTTGTAGAAATTGTGGCAAGCAAACGCAGGGTCCGGTAGAGCGATTGTAAAAACATTAAAGTGTATGTCGTGCTCTTTGGAGCATGGAGCAAAATACTCAAGAGGACGCTGAAAACAATTCTCACTTGGAAACTCAATTGTTCACCCTTGAAGACGACGTGACAACGTCAGGTAAGATCTAAAGCAATTTATTATTTGGAAATTAGCAGTAAAAGCCAAGAATAGTCGTTTTCCGTAATATTTACTTTTATTTTTTGTTTCCTATTGGTTCAGAGAGCAGCCAAAGCAACCATGGCACGTCTTCACAAGAGGGGGCAAGGAGTTCGCCAAGCGCACTGCGACCTACAGCCAAGGACAAGAAAGCATCGCAAAAACTCTCGGACTCTTTTCATCATTCAAACGACTGCAGGTTTCAAGCATGATTTAGACAAGCAAGTAGTTAGACTTGTGTTCGCCACAAACACATTGTTTCGTGCAGTTGAGCACCTGGAGTTTGCTACTCTCATGAACATGCTGCGTCCCGGGTACAAGCCGCCTTCCCAAAACTGAGTCGGAAATGCATTAATGGACGAAGCTTACCGTGAAGAAAAAGTAAATGCACGTCTGAAGCTGCGCAACAGGGTTGTCACTATGAGCATGAACGGCTGGTGAAACGTGCGAATTAACCAGTGATTGCGTCACTGTAATGGATGAAACTGGGCAGACATTTCTGGCTGACACTACTGACCCCCCCTCCCACCACAGAACATTCTCTTTCTTCAAATTACCGCGGTGAGGTCACAACTGTGAAAACGAGAGCCAATGCAAGGTGAGAATTTTTGTGACTTACAATGCAGCGAACATGGCGAAAACGAGATCTGAAGAGTGAGTCTTTAACAGGCATCCTGACGTACGGCTGCTCCGCACACACTCTCAACTTGCCGTCAAGAGGCTTCGAGGTGAAAACCGTAAGAGAACAGGTCGTGCACGTGATGAAATACTTCAGAAACAACCATTTTGCCGGAAGCAAGTACAAAAAGGAGGGTGGAAAACGCTTGAATTTGCCTTCTGAGGTTCGCTAAAACACCTGGGTAGACTGCTTGGCACTTTATTTGTCCAACTGGGTAATTTTAATGAAGGTTTATGACGAAAACAAACAGAAAATTGACAGTGCCATACAGCAAAAAGTGACAAGCCTACAAATGAAGTCCAGTGCGGAAGAGATGCTCAGCACAACGAATGAAGCCTACGGAGCCTTCATGTGCGCTTTGCTAGGGTGATGCCACCCTTTGAAACACCACTCGCCGACAAACCAGCAGCCATTTTGTTCCTCGGCGATAATCCATGGGGCTTATAACCCTCCCAGAAACAAGCACCTTATCTCAGAAGTTCAGAGCAGCGTTGTGGAACCCACGGAGGAAGGATTAGGATTTTCCCCCTCGGATGGGATTACCGGTGGACACAAAGGCCACTTTCCGGCGCACGGGGAAACAATGAGAGAAACAAAATGGCGGTGGAAGGGGGTGTGGGAAAGGGAAACAGGCAGTTGGCATCACTCTATGCGAAGCGCACATGAAGGCACTCTAATGAAGCCTATCGCAGTTGCCTTAGATCAGGTGTGCACAACATGCGGCCCGCGGGCCGCATCTGGCAGGTGGGCACTTCCTGTGCGGCCTGCGGACGTGACACTGTGAGATATGCTCAAGACGGAACATGTGCGATGATGCCAGATATGAAAAACCTGTCTGCCAGTTATTAAAAACCTGCGTAGTTCCCAATAAACATTCTTTTTGGCCCGCGTCATTTTTGAGTTGTGAAGCCCTGCCTTAGATATTGCACAGCGTTCATCCTGCACCCTCTCAAAGGTTGTGGAAGCCTGGAAGGACCGTGGAAAAAAACTGAAATCATTTCCAGTCGATGCCACAAAGCTTTCATGCTTCCGGCAACGGTACGAACAGGTACTGACTCCCGCACACTTTTTGAGCGTCATGGTTGATCCTCTACGTGTGTATCGGGTCCAGTTGACGGAAAATGAGAGAAATCCGCCTCTTACATTTGCAACCTCCTCCAGGAAGGTTTCTTGCCGACCCTTGCCAGGTTTCAAGCCCGGTCTTCTCCGTTCACCACAGCCCTGCTCATTGAAGAGGTGCTGAGAAGTGTTAAGCCTATAGACTGGTGTCGACGTCAGAGCAGTGCTATCGGAGAGTCGACAGCAGTTGTAGAGGTTCTAACTCAGCTTCTCAGAAGCATCGCATAGACGGCTGGAATTGAAAGGATGTTCTCATCGTTCGGGTTAGTGCACTCCAAGCTCCGAAATAACTTGGGCGTCGAGGAAGCTGGGAAGCTTGTTTTCTTTTATAAACTACTGAATGAAAACTGCACCAAAGCATAATTTAGTCACCACACAGTGAAATGGCTTCTTTTGCTTTGTATATCCACGTTGTCTGTGGTAGTTTCTTCTTTCTTGATTGTTCATGGGATAAAAACTATTTTACCTATATTTTTGCATAATAAAACTAGCATAATAGTTTTTGCATCATAGTTTGTTGATGTACTACGAGAAATAAACTTTGATTACTAAAAAAAACAGGCATTGCTTATTCCAACATGAAGTGTAATGTAGTTTGTATAAGGAGCTATTCATCTACCTTTATTTTAAGGCTTAAGTAAACTTGCAGTAAATACTTCTGCACTGTTTTCAGTTATTAGGGCATGTCAAAAGATTAGTCTGTGATGTTTTGTATATAAAATGAAAAAAGTAACAATGTTGATTTAAAAAAAATAAGTTTGATTTAAATTTAAAGAAAGACTGTGTTAAATCAATTAAATCAGATTTTTATTTAGGATGCAAACCGAGCAGCGCAGAAGATGAAGGGCCAAGCACCAGTCGGTATGTGAGACTCAGTGAGCGTGTGCATGGGCAGGAGGGGGGGGGGGTGTAACGTCACGCTACCCCCCCTTCCCCCCTGGAGGTGTATTTTATTCGTTCCTTAGGACCGCAAATTGTACAATTATTACCGTATCACTATTAACAAAAAGGTTTTACTCAACACAAGCTGAACTCTTTCGTCGCCCTCTCGAGTGCACGCATACAAAAATGTAGGATCAAGGTCAGCTTCGGTCTTGTCTGGTGTCAATCAGGTGGCTAAGACTTTAACCTGCGCTCGATCCGAGGCATCCGACTTCAAATCAGGCCGGAGCCACTCAACGGCTTCCACAGTTCCGGTCGATTGAAAGCGATTCCGGCGATTCCAGTGTGGCCAGATCCAGCCCGCATTATTGTTCATTTTTCCTCTTTTTTTTCGTTTTCAGTTTCCAACATACAGGATTGCAGGACAGAAATTATGATCAAACGAAACGATTTAAGATTCCACCAGGCCGAGTTATCAATGTGTAGCCAACTAGCCCAACAGTTAATTTTGATTTGAGTTATCAACTTTATCTCCCAATATGATAGAACTTCATATTTTTAGACAACGTGCGCTGGTCATCCGATGGCCCAATCGGCTCTCCGACATCGGCTGCCATACGCCTCCCGACGCTCTGGCGGCAGATTCCGTCCTATACATGGCGTTGCAGATTGTTTACGGCGCATCTAATATGACTTTGCTAATGCAAGACGCTTTCACGCTCGCAACGCGGACACAAGCATTTGGCCGGCGGCCCAAGCGCGACCGCAAGCAGCCGACGGACCGGAACGGCGCCTGCAGGAGAAGGCCAGGTCGCACTCCACGGGTGTGACCTGGCCTTCGTTGGGGGTGGGGCAGCTGGTAGCATTCGAGCGACGTTTCCAAATAACATTGCAGCAACATTCCTGGGTCCTTCTCGGCCACCCGGTTGGTTATAGCAAAATTCCGTGGCTCATCGCAGCCGGTTCGCACGCATCCGGCCCGCCATTCAGAAAAGACCCACTGATCCGATCCAACAACTCTGAACCGACCAACATGAAAGGAGCAATTCTGGTGCACCGCATTGAGCACGTTCGCATTTGAAGCTTTCTTTTGTTCTTTTTAGCCCGCATATTTAATTATATAAAACGCACATACGCACAAAAAGAACTACGCATTATTTGTTGGGCTGTTGCCGAAGGAAACTCGCGGCCCTCAGCGTGCCTTCGGGCATGCCTAGAGGTGGGAGTTCTCAGTCTGGCTCGGTACGGCGCCGTTTTCCTGCCAACTCTTTCTAAACTGAATTGCTGTATAATTATACACCAAACCGAGGTTTTCTCATAAAATTTAGCCAGAAATTGAATTGGTGCACAGCCATAAAAATTCAGGTTTTCCAGCTATATTTAGCGGGGAAAAAGGCTTCCCGCTAATTTAGAAGGGAAATTTATTAGACGTACGACTTACGACGGCGATTCAGGTCTGCCCGCTAAACATAGCTATCGAGCCCCAACGGACAGATGCGCACCATACAGTTGCCAACCGACTTTACTGACACCGACAATTCGGACTTGTTTGGTATTTCGGACCTAAAGGGGAACCGATGGAAATAGTGTGCACTCACGACCGACGTTTCGGACAGCTTGAAGACCGAAACTTTGATTTTTCTGACAAAATCGTCGCGAGCAATCACTAAGAAACACCATTGAGAAGCCGCCATTTTAGATTCTATCTTGGCTGCACACGGATTGGTTCGGCTTGGCAGCGCTACTCGACTACTGCCAAGTCCTACCGCAAGGTGACGCTAGGCCACAAATATTTTTTTTCTCCAGCTGCGTGTCCTTATCATTGCTACCATTTTGCTTCGTTCATACCCTATTCTGAAGTCGTGGGCCTGTGCCTCTTCTCTCGTCTCGATGAATCAGGATTTCGGACTACATTGACTCGGACGTCATGGCCCCATTTGTTCTTTCACCGCCGCGAATGGTCGCTAAGAAGCACGGAAGGTACTCAACAGTAACGCTAGAAAAGAAGGCAGCAATTCTCAAGCTAATAGAAAGTGGCCGAACGCACGCGAAGGAATAACCCGAAGCAAGGCACTGTTGACGACTTTTTTAAGCCCGCTTAGACGCGATAAAAGCAAGTTTTTTAATCTGCCAATTTTTCGGACTGTTCTACTATTCGGATTTTTATTTGGTTTCTGCAAAGTCTGAAAAGCCGGTTGGTGACTGTACCTCAGAGTTCGGTAGACCTACAAATGCCGTCGCATTTTAAAACGATGACTATGCAATGCTTTCTATTTCGACGTAGTGTCAGCCGCGTGTGCTGCAGACGCTAAATTAAGCCACGACGCTGACAGCCTGGACTCTCCTGCGCTGAGCCACTGGAAAAAGTTGCTCGCTACAGAGCCTCCTCCACTCACCGTACGGACATGGAGACCGCAGAGACGTGGACGTCATACAGACTCGGTGAGAAGTGCCCCGTGTCCGCCGTCATGTCCTTGCAGCGTCGACACGCTAGCGGTTCAGATGTCCTTGTAGAGTCCTTGCAGCGTTCACAGCAGTGAAACATGTCCACACACAGATCGCACAAGTACACACACACACGGACGCAGACATGGCCGCAAATCCTTCTGGAAAGAGAAGAGATACGAGACATTAAAATACAGTATGGTGTACAAAAGGGCCCAAAGGCTGGCGAATCCCACACACACTTGCCGACTGCTTACGACCAAGTGCACTGCAACCTCTTGCGAAACCTTACGACGAAAAAGCGCTTTTATTTATTTATTTTGAGTGACCCACAAACAGCTCGACACCTCCTTAGTGGTGCACTTATCAATGTTAGAATGTAGTCAAACTGTTGGGACACATTAAAAAATGGAAATTTAGGAAAAGACAATAGAAGCGGAACACTTTCTAAATTTACGCTCTTCATCAAAAATGTCTAGGCTAACATTTCCACAAATCTCTTCGAAATGATTATATGATTCGATTGAAGGCGTTTCATGGGTGCTGGGTGATATAAATCAGAAGGATAAAACAAAGAGTAAAGTCTACTAGACCTACGAGGAATGTGCAAATAGATGTGACTTAGTAGCGCTGGTGAATCAATCGTACCATTTACGATCTTATACAGAAACATCAATCCGCGGATCATCCTCCTGTTGCGCAATGTGTCCAATTCGACGAGGGCAACAAATCCCTTCGTAACTGTAGAAAAAATTCAGTTAAACATAACAATCAAACAATACACGGATAAATTTACTTTGAACACGCCCGTTACACTTGAATTAGTAACTCCAATACAGTTCCATACAGTTCAGGCATATTCAACACGACTATGCACCATCGAAGAAAACGAACTTAAAAAACAAAATCGCTTAGAAAAACTGTGTGTTATTCACGTAATGGCATTCGTAATTGTAGTTATGTGATGATTGAAATTAATCGCAGTATCCATAAAAAAAACCAGGTCACGGATTACCTCAACACGAATATCAGTGGAATGTTATGTATATGGAAAATTCAGAATTTCATGCTTTCTAGAAAAAGACGTAACTTTAGTCTTTGCCTCGTTTAAGAATAGGCCATTTTAAAGACACCACACCAAAATAGAATCTATACCACATTGAAGGCATTCACAATCTTCAACCCCTTTAACCACTGTAAACAACTTAATATCATCAGCAAATAACGTAAGGGGGATATGGCCTCGGAATTTAAATGTTTCAGACAAAAAAAATTGTTTTAAACATGATAGGTTTATATTTATTAACTTGGACAGAATGGTTTCAGAAACTTTCATTTATAAACATGCAGGATATATCTCACAATAAATTATTTTCGACATCATGAAGCAAGGTTTTTGCATTTTTTATTTAGCGCTGCTTCATACTCGTTTAACATAGCCAGAACATCTCACCCTCATTGGAAGCGCCAATTGCTCTAGATTTAGCCCCTAGAAGTTTTCCAAGTATAAAAGTAACAATGGCCAGGAAAACCCTATACATCCAAACAGAAAAAATCCAGAAAATTTGGTATGAGCAATCTTATTGGCTAAGACCCGAAACAGGGTTTACGACTGGTCTAGCCCGGTGACATGATATTATGCCATCTTCAGTAACACCCTTTCACAGTACCTTCCACATCAGATAATATTCCTGCTTTGCTACTCTTTCTTAGTATGATTTGCCTTTTGGTTCTTGTCAGTGTCAAGGAATGCCTGCTACAAAAGTTAGCTTGCCTACAAAGGACACAAACTGGAAGCTGTTGCCAGGGGAACAACAAAGTCTCAAAAAAAAAAAAGGTGCTAACAATGCTCCAGGTGAATTCTGCCTACCTCAGATTCATAAAAAAGAAAGAAACCCAAAGTTGAAACTTCAAATGCATTTTTCCTCAGTTTCATTTTTTTGACTGGAAATGTGGTATGAGGAAATGTATCATTTGTCATTTCAAAAGTGTGAAGATTTCCTTCAGTGGTGTCCTGGACTGAAATTTCCTGAGGAACAAGTTAAAGGGGTACTTCAACGGAATGCAAAATATTCCCATCGTGTTCAAAGATAGGTTGAATATGATCCACAATATCCGTAAATGACAATCGCACGTTTGCATTTTGAGCCTGGTGGCTGTATTTTTCGTTATAAACGGCCCACTCTGGCAAGTGCTCGGAGAAGGCCCAGCAGAGGCCACGTGACATCCAACACAATCGTGACGTAGGTCGTCTCGGGACGAGCAAAGCTACGGCGAGGCTGACGTCGAGAGGATGGCCTAGACGTTCCAGCCACCGAAGCGGCTGCCTTTGTACGAATTTTAAGTGACGGGCTAATCTTCTGTAATCTTGTAGGGGGACATTAGCGACTTCTGCGACACACAAAAGGCATTCTCGGGAAGACGGGAGTTCCTGCTTCCCCTCTTCTCTCGTCGTGGCCGGAGGCGAGACAACCTCCGTCACTAGCTGTCAAGGTTCCTAGACGGACATTACAAGTGAGGCGTTAGCGACATCCACCAGGTGCTCTTTGCTAATCGTTTAATTTGTTTTAAAATTCCTTTTCGTGACTTTTTTAACGAGATATTGGTATGTTCGGTGCGATGCTGCTTTTTTGAACACATATAGACCAAAAAATGAGCGCCGAAATTTCGTTGTAGTATCCCTTTAAGGTACTCATAATCTGAAAAAGCTAAATTCTTCATGAAAAAAATTTAATATTTTAAAGTACAGAAATTCGTTCAAATCTTTTGCTCTTTTTGGATGTTATTATATTTCTCTAGAGTTGGATTTTCTACAGTTAATTTTTACCTTAACTTACACTATGGGTATTCTACTTCACATTAAACCAAAAATTTTGGGGATTATAATTATTATTTTTTTTTTAAATACATTTCCTAATAAAGAAAATTTTTTCTGGAGCCTGTTAAGCATAGTGTATTGTGGAATTGGCCTACAAGATTGAAATTTTAGATGTCATCAATTCTAATAGAGTTCAGTACACTCTGAAAGTTTGAATCACTTTGAGGAAACAGTTCAAAACTTGACTCTCCCAGGCCTTAATACAAGCGAGATCATTCACAAAAATTAAAGAGTGAAGGATCGAGGATACTGCCTTGGGGAACAGAGGTAGATAAAAAAGGAGCAGATAATCGACCGGATACTTGCACAAACTTCACTCAATAAGATAGAAGGCTATCGGACACACGACAGCACTTAGTAAACAGACCGTAACTAGAAAGTTTACACAACGGTAGTCGATGGTTTACTTTATCAAAAGCTTCGGTCATATCAAAATACACTACATCGGCTTGTCCTCCATTGTGGTACTACTTGACTCAAGAAACATAGATTTGTTTCTGCAGAGCGGCCTTTCATAAAACCATGAAAGTAGAATAAAAACGCAGGCGAGCTGCTGCATAACTTATTTAAGAGAAACCTTGACACCAGGAACGGAAGGCACAAGGACAACACTGTCTCATACGGTGTTGTCCTTGTCCCTTCTGTTCCTCGTCTCAAGGTTTCTCATTATGAAACCATGTTGTTCAGGAATAACCTTCCGACGAAAATATGCATGGAGGCAGGTGTGTAGAACACTTTCATATACTTTTCACGAAATACAGAGGGGGGAGACAGGCACAGTTGTTAACCATGGATCGAACACCAGATTTATGATATGGAATGACAAAAGAGCTTTTCCAAGAGGCAGGAAACGTTTCAGATTCAAGCGGCAAGTTAAATATATGGACCAAAACTGGACAAAGTAGATGAGCACTACCTTTTACTATATAAAACTTAGAAGGCCATTCGCTCCCGTAGATAACTTTGGTTTAAATTTTTTAATTGCTTCCAAAACTTCAGATGCACTGATTGGAGCAACAGTAAGGTAATCCATGCAGTTTATATTCGAGCTTGGCAATGGGCCATTATTAGTACTAAAACAAGCACTAAAATGACTCGCAAAAATACTAGCTACATCTACTGGGTCAGTGATGTAATTCTCGTAATCTCGCAATGTAATCGTGGTGACATTCTCTCCATTGCTTTCTTTGACAAACTTCCACATACACTGCGGCTGCACACTCAAGGAGTTTTCCACAATGTAAGCGTGATGATGCTCTTCTTGCCGATATATTCCTTTCAGCCAGTGCACGACATTGACCGCATCTCGCGTACCAATCGGCACGTTTAGTTTTTTTTGTAGAGAAGATGATAATGTAGTTTGCACCTTAAGCAATCTCCTAGTTCCTTTGAAAACCATAGGAGATAGTCAGTTGTACAAGATACCTTCTTTGGTGTGAACATTTGCATGCTTTCCTGAGCAGTAGTAGGAAGTGTGTAAGTTGATGATTCAACGCTCTGATCATCCAAGACACTGCTCCAGTTATAGCCACGAAGATACTGGTGTAAGGAATACAGTGGCGGAACCGATAGGTGGCGATTTGGAGCAGCTTTTGTAGCAGGAAACGATGGGTTTTAGGGCAGAGATTGTCCCTTTTGGAGCAGACAATTTGGAGCTTTCGCATTACAAAATGTTATATATCTCTTTGAAAGTTAGCCTGTGGAAAAAACTGCAGTTGTTGGAGTGTTGGGCGACTATTTAAAGTTCCCTACCTACCGGGGGCCGCTAAAGATATTTATTTACTTATTATTTGAACATTCAAATGCGGGTAATTTTGCAGATGTCCCAATTAGCCTCTTAGGAGTACCGATAGCATCTTGTCTTCGTTTGACGCAAAAAGATGTTTTCGGCTACTTTGTAGAGTTTGTATCAAAGGGACGCATTTGTCGAGGGTTCGACATCAAACTGACACTTTTGTGTTGAAATTGTCTCACGCTCCTCTCTGCTTTGTAGTCGTTAGGCATGAGCAAATAATAAATTTTGGGTTCGAAGCAAATTCAAAGTGTATAGGAGTTTTGGCCGAATATTTTTTAATCGAATATTGAATAGTTGCTGCGCCTTTCTCCATGCCTTTCACTATTGTTACACCTGTCCTGTCGTCCGTGCTCCTTCATTGTCCCCATTTGTTCACACTCTTTAACCTTTTATTCATTAATGGACCAACTAGCCCAAACCCAATTTTTAATGTTACCCATGCTTGAACGAAAATTCAGCTGAACTCGCAAAGGTTATGAGTTCTGTTA